TATATATCTTAGGGGTCAAAAAGGGAAAGAAATATACCAGCAAAATTCCTTACAAGTTTTCTGGTTGATATTGACAAACAAATATGAACCAGGTCGGTGTTGTTTCAGGCAATCATAGGGTGGAAATGGGGGAAAACCGAGAAAAAGCCAAAGATCGACCAACTTACTGCCAACGGACGCTTTCAAGTTTGTCTGGGTCCTTGACGCATTACCAACAGCAAGTCAGCAATCTCGTGCCTTTGCATTGAGCTCAACTAGTTAGCTGGGCCGTAATGCTCGTATATGCCGAGACCAAGAATGACATGACAATCCCAAAAACTAAAACCCTCAAGAAAAAGGCCTTACCCACGTAAGATTGCTAGCAGGCCCAGCACGGTTTTCGGTACATACCAGTTATTAATTGTACAAAGGCATCTCCATTTCAAGTATATTGATTCTTAACTACCTATGATTTCTATGGGTTACACTTGTATTTGTTTTTGTATGTACATGAATTTTAGAGGATATTTCAAAATTTTTGAAACTTGAGCAAGATGGAATAGAGGTTGTCAAATACCCTACTTGGGACTTTTTGAAGCTACCGACAAAAGGGGAAAAGAAGAGAAAAGGAAAAGGGCGGGGCCACCGTTTGAGAGGCCTAAGCCGCCGACCGCTACAGTGTCAGGGACCAAGGAAGGGAAAGAAGGTTTAAAGAAACGGGTTGGTTAGTGGTAGAAGATGAAGGAGGTTAAAATGAAAAAAAAAATAATAAAAAAAGGCTTTTATAGTTAGGGTTAAGTTAGAATTTTACTATTGATCAAAACTAAGTCGTTTTATTGAGTAGAAAGAGGAATAAAAAAGAAGAGTTGGACCGGATCAGTTTTGGGCCAAATACAACCCCAATTGAAGTATTTCCTAACCCATTGTTTGACCTCTTAATTTTTTATGCATTAGTTAAAATTTATGAAATTACTTTGAAAAATCTTAAGAATAAAAAATACAATAATTAATTGAATAAATTTAATAATCACTTACCAAAATATTGGGGGATCCTAAGATTATTTTTCACAAAGTGAAATATTTCTAAATAATTAGAAAAGCATAGGATTATAAAATAGAGATTAAAATTGAAAATAATTTACAAAATTTCATCATTAAATTTAAAAAATTTAATAAGTGTAATTAATATTTATTTCATTTTTAATAATTTTATGATATAAATTATGTAGTTTATGAATAATTAATTTTATTTTATTGCATTTTCTCAATTTTAATTTTATTTCATTATTAATTTGAATGATCATAATTAAGATATACAAAAATTAAATCTTTTTGAAAATTAAAAATTATTAAAATAATAAATTTTCTCTAACAACAATGCTCAAGAAATTTTTTTTAAAATGTTAGTATTTCACAATAATTAACTTCAATTTATTATTACTACTATTATTTATAGTATTTCCAAATTTAAGATTACTCCTTTTACTATTATTACTATTATTTATAATATTATTCAGACATATTGAAGAATTTTTTGTACACTTTGTACCAAACTATTTCTTTACATTTGTACAGCATTGATTAGTAAGATGAAGCTAAAAATGTATATATGGTATTCAGTTTTATTTTTATTTTTCTTATCATATGCTATATACTTTTGTCTCGATTGTTGTTACGATATGTAATAATGTTTACAATTTTTAATATCAAATGTTGATAAAATTTCACGAAATTCACATTAATCAAACATTTAAAAAAAGTATGATATTAATATAATAAATTTTTCACTTATTGTAAATCTCGTTACGTAACGTAGATATATTTCTAGTCACTACTTGAATCTTTTAGCCATTTGACAACGGTTAATACTTCAAGTTTGATATCATAATTATTATGTCTCCAAGGAAAGTATAAGGTTTGATATTTAAGTAAAGTGAGTCTGTCATACAAAGTGAAATCCTGAGCTTGATTCAGCAACTATACTGTTGCTCTCCTTTGGAGATCATGAAATGCTTGCAAGCTTCGTCAATAATCAAGCAGTCGTTGCCAGAAACAGAAAGAAACCAACTGTCAAAACGAAACGAATGTAAGAATGGAAAAGGAGAGAGACTATAGATTGACCTTGAGGTTTATGGAAGTAATGAATTCTCGCCATATAGAATCAAGAGGGAGGCTGGCTAGGGTTCATCGGGTTTACTCCTGTCACTTGGCTTTGCCTGGGTTATACATATATAGTACCATATACAGCACGAGGCGGGAACCGACCAAAATACTGCCCGAGGCAGTTTATGAGCTGGCCTGGTGGTTGCTTGGTCACGACAGTTGTACTTGTTGTATCTTTCATAGTTTCATTAGAGTGACATATTTTACCCTTTTGAGTTACAAAGTAGTAAGTATTAAATTGCCTTCCCAAAGTAGTACTACGCGGCTAGTATGGCCAAAAAAAAAAAGAAAAAAAGAAGAAGAAGAAGACAGGGTGCTTCAAGAATTGGTCCCTCCATGACCAAAAAGAAAAAGTATTGATCCAACGTCTAAGCAATCTGTTTGTCGGCGTTACTCGGAAACAAGTTTTTTAACCCTTTTGAACACTCAGTTGGTTCAGCAAGTCTCAGGTGGAGTTACTGTGTTTGATATCTGTCTGTTTCTGGACTTAATTTAAGGAATTTTCCAATTTGACACGGGTTTCATTTCACAACTGCTTCCAGTAAAAGGAATTGGATCAAAATCAAACCTCTTTGGTGGACCTTTCCATATCCCTTCCCCCTTACATCCCTCCACCAGGGCTCCGTTGATGAGTCAAAACAGTCTGGCATCACACCACCAACCAGACACAGCCACAGGCTCACAACTCGGTTTCTTTACGCTCTTTATCTCAACTAAGAAAAACTGAAAAACTATACAGCTCCTACCAACTTGTAGGCTGTTAGGCACATCTCACACCATGATAGGCCTTTTTCAACATGATTTTCTTTCATCTTTGTCAACTTTTTAATAAAGAGTCAAAACAACCATTCCCTTTTAGTATCAGAGTCCAACACCCTCAAAAACATTTTTCGTCTTTTTTGGTTTTCCTTATTATGTCACTGCTTTCTCGGTAAGCTCCCTATTAAGACTATGCTATTTACTTCAAAGATATATAGACCATTCCATTGGTCGTTGATTCTTATTGGCTAAGAGTCTTAAATGCCTATTGATAGTCATGGAAGTTGACCTGGCAAAGCAGGGAATACACGGTTCTTGGCTTTTAAGAGTTGTCGAAAGAATAAAGGGGAATGATGTTGATTTAGACCTCTAGCCAATCAATTCTTATAGGAAAGCTATCTTTTCATGAATAAGATTTTAATTTGCCTTAACTTAGAAGGAAGCTTTCAACAAAAGTCATTCCAAGTTTAGCAGACATTTCATTTTACCCTTAAACAAGAGTCCTTAGGTAAGACAACAGACCAAATAATAATAAGAAAACTAATGTCATTTAAGGGGGGAATAGAAACAAAAACCTTAACCATTGCTACATAATGAGTTACAACAGCTTCAACTTCCACATACACCTAACTTTTCCCATATGTACCCTAAATAATGCCAACCCTTCAAAACACACAGAGCCTTTTTTCTTTTCTGTTTTTTTTTTGGATGACCTTACAAAACGCGGAGCGTGTTTCAGCAGAATTTTGCAGCTCTTTTTTGGTGACAAAAACCTCTGAGGCCAAAGAATGATTTAATATTAAAGCTTACCTGTACAGGGCTTACTAGGGAACAAATCTTAGTTACATTAGAAGATGTAGACGCTATCTATTATATTAGGCTTGTGAATGATGATGTCAACACATAAGGAATATTGGCTAGGGGCCCTCTTTGGCAGGCAAGCTCGTGGATGTCCTTTACAATATCGAATACGGCCTCGGGTTGTGCTAGTTTAAAAGCATTTTCTGACATTCTCTTGAGCTCATCTGTCTTTGTGCTGAACCATTCGGCCACAATTCTAGCTGTTTCCTTTGGACTTCTGGTGAATACTCCTGCTCCATTGTCTACTACATATGGTACATTGCCCTTTTCCTGCAACCCACAGATGAAGGGTAAATGCCAATAATATAGAGTTAAATTAGAAGCTATTAAAGCCATATCGTAATCGATGCAGTTACCAATTGGTTACTAACCTGCCCGGGAATGTAGTCATTGAGAACAATTGGAAGCCCCCTTATCAAGGCCTCTGCAATGGTACCTGGACCAGCCTGCAATCCATAGAGACAGATTAGTCTAAGCTATTTACATTAAGAAAGAAAATGCACAAATACCACAATCTAAATTGCATTTCATTTTCTTACTTTTGTAATTATGCAGTCAGAAGCTCCCATCCATTTCTCCATCTGAGTCTCAAACCCCCTGACCTACAGTGAAGGGAAAATTTTGTTTAAGGAGTGCTTTCATTTTGCTTGTCTTTTGCTTATATGTAATAAGTTCAAGTAGCGAAATCAAATTACCTTCACTGGGATCTTCCATTCCTCTGATTCCAATATAGAGACAAGGGATTTGTTTCGGCCACATATTATGATTAATTGCCCTATTGGTTTCTCTTGATCTTTATCATATAGTGATTCTCCTAGAGCAATGGCCGTTTTCTTAACAGGCCCCATCCCTTCACCCCCTCCCATTAGCAGAACTGCAGGCAAATCAGGATCCATTCCAAGCTCTATCCTTAAGTCATCCTACAAAAACAAGAAAGAAAAAAGCATTACAAATATCAGAACTCCCTCCAACTAAAGCAAGCATATAGATGAAGTGTTTGTGTCTACGATCGTCACCTTAGAAAGAACTGCACGGGCAAATGAAGGCCGAATAGGCAGACCAAAAACCTGAATTTGGGACTCCTCAAGTCCATCACACAATGCCCGCTTGGCAACCTCCTTTGACGGGCAGTAGCATCTATTAACCCCAGGGTGAAACCTGAACAGAACTCCAATTGTTAAGATATTCAGTGGCTTGCTACAAAGGCACATGTATATGACATAGAAATTCCAAACTTAAGACTTTGTCAACTGACCATGTCGGGTGGCAGGTATTGAGGTCTGTAATTACAGTGACAAAAACTACTTTCTTTTGAAGGCCTTGCCATTTAAGAACCCAGAGAGGAATGTGTTGCATTAATGGATGCACACTAATGATAATGTCCGGCTTGTACTCCATGAGGCCAGCCTCCACCTCTCTTCAAAGACAAAAAAAAAAAAAAAGTTAAAAATAAGGCCTTGAATCCAGTCATATTTTTATCAGTAAATTCAAACCCACTTATGTCAACTTGTCGAGCTTCAATTTTAAGAAATGATTTCATTTTGCTTGAACAGAAAACAACAATGCCAACAATCATTTTAGCTTCCATCAGTTTGATTAAGCGCAAGTGGGTAATAAAGAATTCTCTAGAATAAAAGCAAACGCATAATCATCAGTGAAAGTGACTAGAGAATCCTGAAGACCTCAAAACCTATAATATAATTGATTATTGATATAATAACAAGACTCAAAATTTTATTACATCTTGGTGACCAAATCAGGGTACCAAGGCAACACTTCATTTTATATTTATTTTTTTTATTTTTGGCAATCTTGACCTACTTGAATTCTTCAAGTTTTGGTGGAAACT